AATGGGAAAATATTTTCGGTAAATGCTCGTATAGGAGCAGAAGCGTGATTACTGACTCAACCGTTTTATTACCTAACTAAATTCACGCGCTAGAGAAAGGCTTCACCCGCCTCTCAGTTATCCGGTGTGATTTAATAAGTGCCGATCTAATCCTATAACCCAGCTTTAGGCCGACCAAAGCAACAAGGTACATTTTCAGATTTATTTTGCTAGGACTTCAGACGAGTGGGTGTACTCCTACTGCAGGACTCCAGCCTGCGAAATGTTGAACGTTCTTGCAAAACTTTTCGTTGCCAATTATTTTTTTTCAGTCTTCAATGACCTGCTAAAATTACAAATGTCCAGATATACTTTAGAAGACCGGCCACAAAAGTGTTGTGGTCTGTTGGGCCAATCGATCGGTGAATTTTGTCATGAAGGGCAACACAAAACTTGGACTGGCAGGACCTTTCCAGCCAAATTAATCAAAAAGGCTTCATGTGCTGCAGGCTTGACAGTCCTGGACATCGAACAGGGATAGCTGTTAGTATCCTCTTTTAGTTCCCATACAAGGAACCATCCTTTTCCCGCAAAAATTTGCTAAAAACGCCACATGATCTAACTTGGAAAATGAATAAAAAGTAGGGACGGACTACTGTCTTGCATGACACACAGGGTCCTCTGCCTTCTGACCTATCACTGACACACCTGATGTTTGTACGCATTGTTCGCCAGGTTCCTTGTTTGGGACTCGCAAGGATGGCCTATTATTAGTATCAGTTCCAGTATATCAGTATATTTGAGGGAGGAGATGTGGGTGGGTTACCTTTGGGTTTCTGTGGTATCTGAAAAAAAGTATCTTAGTTTTTTGGCGAGGCCAATTGACAGGAGCCAATGAGGTGGAACATAGTTAAAAAATAGCAGACAGTGAAGAAAACTCCTTGGGGATTTTTTAAGAGAAAAAAACTTTATGAGTGGGCCTTCTATTTTGACGTAAGACAGATGAGGTTATTTAAGTATTGCATCCTCTAGTGACATAAGCCTATACTCCCTAAAAATGGCTATGAACACCACGTCTACTGAATAAGGCAACTTTTTTGAAGTTGTTTTTGGGTTATTGAGCCCTATTGAGGAACAGGCTTCAGCGCGGCCTCCGTAAGCTCGATGCTCCCCTTTCTGCCTCCTGTCTACACTGACGTCCTCGGGGCTGTCCTGAGGATACACTTGGGTTGGCAGTGCTCCACTTTCCTTCACTATCCACGCCTTGGATTAAAACACTACCACCCCCTCTGTACCCGTATCTCATTGTCTTTAGTGAGCGGCTCCTGATTGGACTGTCTCCTGGCCGTTCGCATCTCGCAATTTTTCTGACATTTAGACTTTTAGCGCCCCAGTTCAGCGCGACCTGACTACCTGGATGATTAACTAACTGTCAGCTCTCACTCCCCTTTGCAGTCAAGAAAAAGTTAAAAACGAATTTATCTGGAGGAGGAAGAAGGCGTTCTTCTCTCATATGCGCGACCCACGAAACAGAAGGGAGTCGTGCATCGTCCCTATAGTTTCCACAAATTATTTGATTATGTCCGGATGCCGTTTAGCGTTCAATGCTTCTTTCACACACGTATACCGGAGTGCCTTTTCATAAGGGAAGTTCATAAATCCTATCGTTATGCGCGTATCCAGTAATAAATAGCATTTTCGCGGGAAACATAATAGAAGGCGCATTTCTCCAATCCTTCACCGTCGTCACTCTCTTCCGTTGCTCGTTCGTCTGCCGAGGCTATGCTCTGCATATGGAAATCCCGCTCCAAGAATACCGTCGGTTTACTGAGCGCTATTTCAGATCATTGTGCAAATTTCAGAATTCTAAGTGCGCGCATAGCCGCATTCCTCACAGCTGGCTAGCTTTAGCCTTCTGACCTTTGGCGTTAGTAGATGCTTTTGGCCATTTATATAATTCATCTGACGAATTCAATGGCCTCGGTAGGACTCATCTCCATCACAACAAGGGCAAGGCTTGAGTACAGTCAAACTGCTCTTACCACTTGAACTATGAGGCCTCGATCGAAAGACGTGAGTTAAATAACCTTTAGATCAGATAGTATTGCCGGCAAACACAAGGGAGACTGGAATGTCCCTTTCTGGCTTATTAGCCGTCGTCAGCCGGTCATACTCAGGCCCAAATGGTGCACCATCCGAGCCTCGAACTCGTGACTTTTCTGATCAGAGTTTAACGCCCTAACCATTGAGCTACGAGCTCGTTTGCTTACCGTTTTAGGTCGAGCGATATTGATACTCGTTGATGAACGTTCAACAACCGCTAAGGGAACTCACTTCTCCCACTCCGTCCTGCCTTGGGCCTCATTTCTCGGGGCCTGACGGCCCCGTCCTACTGCAACGTAGAGAGTCCGTCAATTCAAATGCAGTAAGCTAACTGTCCAAACAGGATTCCCTAACCAATCGATCCAGAATCTGCTGGTTGATTGCTTAGGAAATATTGCCTGAACCAGTCAACGTACTGTATCAGACTTAGTGGATCCCATGCGTTTTTGTAGCTTGGACGGTAAACTTTACGCATATGTGATTAAAATCATTGGTCTCGGCGGAGCCCTGTAGTTCAGGTAGTCAGACGCTTCGTTGTGCTCTAACCTTGTCCTTCCTCTTGTGGGTTTAAATCCTGATAATGACCGAAGATGACGAATCGTCCTTGAATAAGTCGCAAAATTTAGGCAAAATTGAACTTCCTCCAAAATGGTGCTAGCGCCATGCGCTGATGACCTTGTTATTGTGGTTAAAATAAACAAAGAGGGGTAAAAAATCGATTTGTAATGGGCACAATAGTCCAATCGATTAACCGCATTTCTGGACTATAAGGTGTACTTAAAAGCCCTTAGTTTTCTCAAAAAAACGACTTAGTTTTCTCAAAAAACGACAGTGTGCCTCATTACCGGAACGCTTTGTACATCAATTAATTCTGGTTACTGACCTCGAAGTGATCTTCATATATAAAACGCTCCGGGTTATAAGGCACACTGTATTTTTTGAGAAAACTAAAGGCTTTTAAGTGCGTCTTGTAGTCCAGAAAATACGGTATATATAAGAGATTTATATGCCAACGGAGAGCAGAAATATGGCTGCTCGTTTTCAGAAGCCCAGTTTAAGATTGGGTTTAATTAGTGCCTTGTTAACATCACTTGACAACGTATTTTGGCCACTAATTAGTGTACCGTGTCCATCTTTACATCGCGTATGATGTGTTCCATAGTCTCGACGCCAGTGAAGGCTTGAAAAAAGACAGGGTTCTTCGGAAAGGAATTGAAGTGCACCCGATACTTGACACTCCATCCAATTTTATACAGAATGAACGAGGGGGAAAAGTGAACTTGTCAGAGTAAACCGGTTGGCGCGTAGGACAGATGGCGACAGATAAGCCACTGGCGTATGAGAGGGGGGCGCACGCTATGTGAGAGGGGCGGGCATAGAATTATGGTAGGTGTCCAGGCGGGTGGGACGGAAAGGGGAGCACGCTTCCCTGTGCTGAAGGAGGGGGCGGAGGGGGGTCGATGGCAAATCTGTGGGACTAGGACTGGGGCTGGCTGAATTGCCGGTTGTTAATGTGGGCTGAGGAGCAAGTTCAATGGGTCGTGACTACA